GCATATGTGCTGATTCCTTAAGTTTACGAATTTTCCGATAGTGTTCTTTGTCTATGATCTCAACCTGATCCCACAGAGGGCGTTGATTTCCCTTCTCTCTCCATATGTGGTCAGCCACGCCTGATTTTTCCACTCCCCCTCGTGTTACAGCTTTCTGGTATTCTTGAAGCCTTACCTTAAGGGGGTGGCCTGTCTTCCCTTTATATTTCTTTCCGCAGTAGCAAAAATAATGTACATAATACCTCATCTCAGAAATATAGACAGATTCAGAATGTATGGCTATTAGCAGGAGGAACAACCCAAGATGTGAGCCAAAATTGGAAACGTCAAATAAAACAAATACAGAAATTTAGTTATCTGTGAAGTGTTATAACAGACGTCGGAAACTGTGAAAGAAAGATCCGAAGGCGGATCGGAATAGCGAAACATACTTTTCTGAATCTAAACAGTATATTAAAATACAAGAAACTTTTGCTGGAAACAAAATAAGAGTGCTCAACAGTTATGTAATATCTGTCCTTTTATATTATAGTCAATGATGGACAATTTCCTCACAAATTAAGAGGAAACAAAGATGTTGTTCTGCAGAACAATAGAGAAGACATGTGAGCAACGAAGAAATTTTAAGGAAAATGTGAAGGCAAAGGAAACTTTTGCTTAAGATCAGAAATTTTGAGGGCACATAATGAGGAAAAAGAGCTTGGATAATTTTGCACTCACAGGACAGAGGGAAGCAGTGAGTAATATACCTAAAGAGCTTGTGTAAATGAATGGTAAAAAAGAGACTGTGATGTATAGTAAGGGGACAAACATTGCTACAAGGGATTTAAAGTTGCTACAATTTATAGGAAGTTAACAGCCATGATCACTCTCGTCCTAAAATGGGCAAAGTACATAAAAGAACATATGCCTAAATTGGTTCTCTGCTATAGAGCGATGGTTAGGAAGCAAATCTTGTGGTTCTTTGCAAGCAAGATCGATTCGCATTATTTCACTTTTGTCTCCTTGTATCAAATTAGATTTAGTTGAGTAAATATCTACATGCATTTAAACACGAGTAGCTTCATACATAGTCGTAGACGTTTAATAATAGACACCAAAACGAAGACGTTAACTCATATAGAACCCTGGCATCTGAACATAGGGGAATAATCCAATTAGCATATTCCAATCAAAGCACATAGTCATGAATATAATACCAAGAAAATAGAGTCATTACTTTTGTCCGTTACATTTACATTTTGTCTCAACATTCATGATGATGAATAAAAGAGAATATGGAAAAAAAAATCGAATGGGGAAAAAAGGGTTGACAAGAAAGAAGGTAGGTATGACAATATCTCTCACTTTGATGTAACTCACCAATTATTGTTAGGAAAGTAAGTTTTTAACGGGTTTTTTTCCAGCCTATTGACGGCTATACACATTATGCAACAGCAAAAACTTTTAATTTCTTTAACAATACTTTTCCAGTGATATAGAATGGTGCTTAAAACGTGTTATTTTTATTGTTGATTTGTTGCTAAAATTTATTTTCAGAACTGTCAGCAATATGTCTAACACAGTGACATCTTCAAGTGCCATAAACGGATAGGATGTAATTTGTTTGTGTTGCAGAATTTTTTATAATTTAAATAAATGTTGCTTTCAAGCACAACACTGTTTAAAAGTATTATTGCAAGTATCAATGGGAAGTAATCACAGGAGCTAAATACCGTCATGTAATGTAGGAAGCTCAGAAGAACAAACAGAACTGAACAACTGAAAATGACATATCTGATCTTCACGACAATTCTCATATATATTCTCTTATATAGCGTTAGCAACATCTCGAATGTTGAACAACTTTCATTATTTGTTCATGGACTTTAATAACATTTAAAAAAATAAATAAATCTATACTAGAAATTCTCAGTATAAACAGCATATGTTTATTCAATTATACATTACATAACTTCGTTTCCCTTGAGTTGCAGTTCCACAACAACACATGATAACCGAGAAAAATATTAAGATTTGCTTAAAAGAACGAATTATTTTCAAAGAATGCCTTGTCACTCTTTATAAAATAAATTAAATTTTTATTTTCAGATAGTCATATAAAGTTTTGATTAAAATGGCGGTTGTTTTCTCTGTCAAAGCTTTTATGATATATCCATGTTTTTGTATTGTAACATTTAAAAAAATATCTTTTTAACGATATAATCTCCTTTATGCGTAAAAGAAGTGAATTAAAAAGATAACCATCTCAGTTCCGAATAAAGGTTTAAAGTCCCGATTACAACCGACAAAAGGAAATCAATTTTCTCACATCAAACCAAAGATGAGTAACATTTTCAACAAAAATGAAAAACTGCTTTACTATTGAAAATAAACTTTTGTTGTTTAATTGAATTGCTTTTGGATTGTTATTGAATTATTAATAAACTATCGCTTAAAACGGTTGAAATTAGTTTTGAAATATGTTTAATTTATTAGGTCTATACTGAAATTATTCGTTTTCCCCTTCATATGTAAAAACATTAAACTCATAGGAAAGGAAATATAAAAGTTCAAAATAATTTATAGTTTTAATCGTCTATTGGCTACTTTTCAAATGAGAGTAACCACTCCGAAAATTAGCCAATCATAAACGAAAAATGAGAGTGTATTAAAAAGTTCTCGGTTCACTTAACTTCCCAAAATTTGACTAAGTAATGAAACATCAATTTTTTTTGGCAGGCGTTTTTTGTTGTGTCTAAAACATTTCAGCACATTCCTCATATTTTCCTAATGATGCCATATGAATTAATTTTAAAATGCGAAGAAATTTTCCAAGAGTATTTTAAGGGGAATTAAACAGTGATTAAATTATGGATTGAAAGTAAAGGATTTCTTTATTGGACATGTTGAAAAGGAAAAAAGTACAAAAACAGAGAAAAAAATACCCAAATGTGCGATATACTTTTCTAAAGTAACCTAATTTTTATTTGTAAGTGTTAGCATTATTTTCTTTAGCAACAGGAAACTTATAAAGGAGATAAAGAACTGATTTTTTTCTGAGAATGAGTTTTTTACTTTGAGGTCTAAGCGTCTAATTCTATTTTGCTCCCAGTCGAACATCTTTTTCTTTTATGTGTTAATCGAATACAAAGTAACTGGAAATAAACAATTTTTATGGGTATATTTTATCGGTAATAGTCTTTTTTAAGCGAAACTGTTAACGATTACCAGTAAATTTTGATTTACAAATCTCTTCAGACAAGCAGGCAAAACGTGTAGCCAAGGGCTATCTGCCATTGCTATTTCGCTTTTTCAATATTTTTTTCAGTATAACAGGAGGTATTCAACTTTATATTCGAAGTTTTAAGCAGCATATATTTTTGGTTTAACCCTTGGATAGCTTATTTTTACTCAGCTCAAAAATATCTCAAAATTTAAAACAAATTTTTATATTAGTTATATTTAATAGTTATATATATATATATATATATATATATATATATATATATATATACGTGTGTGTTTTAATCTTTTTAATGTTTCTAACTCGATTGACAAATGGTGACCCTTAGATTATTAGCCTTTAGCTTTACTTATAGATGTGTCTCCATCGTGGGAATCATCTACGGTTCCAACTAAAGAGCCATGTATGTTGTGCATTTCATAATTTTTTTCAAAATTCATTTGTATCTTATTCTAATTCTACAACCTAAACTTTCTATCTTTCTTGTAAAATCTAATAATATACTGTTCTTTACAAAATCTATTTTTGATTTCTTCTAATTGTGCAATGCAGAAATTATTTCAAATTTTCAAATAAATTACAAGGTTAAAATTAAACCGAAGAACAATTCTGAAAATACATAATGTATAATTAACAAAAACAAGTTCTGTCTTGAATTTGCTCATCGGAATTTATTCGATATTTTAACAACGTTGTGATTAAATAAAAGTTATTAATCGAATATCATTTACGTATCTCTGGTTTTACATATATATTTTGTCCTTAGAAAGTCTTAATTCTTTCAGTTGTTAGAGATTGTTAGTTGCAGCCGATCATATTTTTGAATGAAACTAAAACTAAATTTACAATATAAATATGGATTAACCTTGTCATTGGTACAATTCACCCGAATTTGCCACTTTAAAGCAAACATTCAAAAAATGAAACTTATGACCTACAAATTTTGAAGTATCAATTGAGACTTGATTATGGAAAGCAATTCACATCTAGATGAGATGACATCGTGTGAGCGACTATTTGAAATCTTTCAATGTTGTAATTAACTGATGAAAACGAAAATTACAGGCATAAAAAGCGATAATCTCCAAGTATCATTTCTTTTTATCTTGTTATTGCATTCGTTGAAAAAACGCTGCAACGAATGCAATAACAAGTTTTTGTATTGAGAGTATATCGCAAAATATTAGAAACTTTAATTTCGTTGTTAAGCCAAGCATCATATATTTTTAAAAATTGAAGTTGAAAGTTAAAGTTTAAAATCAGGAAAAACTTCTGATTTAGGAAATATATTCTTGAACTTTTAAGGGAAGACTGATATAAGTCGACTAATTCACAAAACAAAAAGTAGGAAAAAGAATAGTTGCAAACAGTTGATGAAAAGAAAAAAGACCTATTTTCTTCTAAGTTACTACTTCAAATAAGGTGTAGCAATTGAAATGATTCTGATATGGGAGAATAAAAGTCTCACGTACCTGTAAATAAGTTCCATATCGTTCCAATTCATCGGCAGTTAAATAAATCCGTTCTTTTTTAAATATTGACTGGATACATGGACATTTAGTATCTACGTTTGATCCATGGAGATGTACATCTGACTGGAAAGGGAGAGAAAGAAGATCTTGTATATTCGGTGTTTCGTGTCTGCGTCGATACATACTGATAGTTGTGACTAATTTCCTGTTTTCACCGACGATTATCGAAGCAGTGGTCGTTGTGTGAAGGAGAAATGTCACCTATGACTGGACGAAAGTGAAGAGGCAGGTGATAAACTCACCTGGACGACAGTTTTCAGCCGACACGTGTTTACTTGCTGGCTCCGGGTTGAGGTTGGGCTGTGAGCTGTTGGTGCAGAGAAAGTGAGAAAAGAGCTTCAGTAAAATAAGTAATGCAGTCTCCTTAAATAAGTCTTTGTTTATTATTATCATCATTATTTTCATAGCTTGAAATCAAATTATAATTTTAAATCTCCATTTACACTTCTGAAACAAGGCAAACGCATATTTTCTGATTACAAATGAAAGGGTATTTTAAAATAGCTCCATTTTAACCAAATATCACCATATAGCATAAAGCATGAGTGTGTTTCTCAGAATGTGTTCCATTGCAAACTTCATTTATGTGATGCAATACACAAATTCTTTTAATTCATCAAGAATCACTCGATGAGAACACCTATCGCATCATTGTTAAAGAGAGATGCAAATATCGGTGCGATGATTTTTGGCATTAAGAAAAGCAATTAAATTATACATTTCTAACTTCAAAGATGGCATAATATAGCGACTGTATAACTCGTTTTAATTCGGAATAAAAATACACAAATTAACTCTATCAAGATGATTACAGGATCTGGTTAGGGTCTCGGAAGAAGAAATCGTAGAGACAAGTTCCAATTCCGAGATTGTTATATTCATTTTCGCACAAATATCAATCTCTGCTTCCTCCTACCAGAGTTAAATAGCAGGACATAGAAGTAACGGGAAGCCAGTTTAGGTGGAGGTCAACTCTAATTTCAAAACCGTATGTTGCTCTCGTGGGAGATATACTTGAATTGCAACTAATGTCCACTTAGCATAGTTGAACTATAAATCACGGGTTGGTCCTATGTGAGCTGAAGAAACAAAAACAGGCCTGAGAAAATGGAAATGCACGGGAACGAGAGCAAACACGCTGAAAAGGAGAATCCCAATTGATATATGTCAAAGTCGAAAAACTTCTGATGATGAAGATGCTTACAACTTTTCAATAATGCACTTCATGCTTAAAAAATCCAGTTTATCGTTCATTAACTAGTTTTTGACAGTCGAAAACTTTTATGGATTTAATAATAACATTGATGAATATATTTCATGAAATATCTTATACACAGATTCTAATAAAAATGTATATCACGCTATCTCCGTAATACAAGAGTGAATAAGATTTTAGAAAAGGTTACATAGTTTATTAAGTTAAAGTATTTCTATTAATAACTCGTTCAAAAACAAACAAAAACATAAAGAATGCAAGATTGGCTTTTTGTTTCAGTGTTTTTATTTTACTTTTTCTTAAATGCCAGCGTTTTGGATATATTCAAAAATAATTTAAATACTGCATATTATTGGATCGGCTCGACAGGAAAAAAAAGATAGAAGAAAGAAGTCCAATTCATACAGTGACGAGAGTATGAGCGTTCTATTCCACCAGAAATCGGTTTACGTAATGTTAGATCCTCGATGAATGCCATACTAAATTAAAACAATACCTAAGGCTGTATAATGAAGATATTTGATATAAACAATTAGCATTTTCTCATTCAGAGGTAGTGTAAGAAAAAAAAAAGGACAGATGTGGTGTGAGTAGAGATATCCTTTTCAAAATTTGATCGATAAGATTTGTTGCTTCCAGTTCTTAAAGGGAAAATAAAACTTAATTTCATCACGAATAGAACACTGTTCATTCTGTTTGTAAATTTGATAATATTAGAATTATTCAGTTTATTATTTTATAAATGAATCAGAGACAATATCCGTAAATTTTCTTTCTCAGCTCATGGTTTGCAACAGGACATGACTTTCTATTTCCTTTCACTTGGTGAATCCTTCATTTTGTATTTGGTTTTTGCTATTTGCTAACATTAATTATAAACCTATGATTTTACAATAAATGTCCTTATTTGTGATAGTCATTCTTTTTATTTCTGCACATTTTTCGTTGATTCATGCCTTTTTAGCTTGCTAGCGTTTGTCCCTTATTTCTTTTTGTAGTGCCCTATATTCTGTACCGTGTTTTGGCATTGTTTTTGTCTCCTTCCCATCATATCGAGAATTTTATCTGTCATTGTTTTTTCTTCATTTATTTTCCTTTAGGATGATATCGATTGCTGATGTTAATAAAGATCCTCTTAATGTGTCCACTTCGAGTTTCCATTTTTCCTTTCGTTCCTAGTATTTGCTTTTCACACTGTCCATATATTTCTACTCCGAGAATCTGTCGTAACGCAATTTTCTTTAAGTTTACATATCACTGGAAAGTGATCGCTTCCACAATCGGCACTTGGATATGATTTGCAGTGAACTACTGCATTCCTGAATCACTTGTTGATAATTATGTAGTCGATCTGTTTTTTTTTATTTGTTTGTCTGTTTGTTTTTTCTCCTCCTGGTTTTCTCCATGTCCATATTCGTCTTGGGTGTTCTTGAAACCAGGTATTGGTTATTACCTTGTTATTCGCCGTACACCATTTGACCCATTCTTCTCCACGTTCATTATGGATTCCTAGTTCGAATTTGCCAACTATTTCACCATTACTCCCGTTCGCATTCAAGTCTCCTATAACAATTATAATTGATGTGCATTGATCCCTGGCGTTGTCTAGAGTAGAGTAGAATTTTGAATTTTTTGTTGCCATATATGGACAGGAGCTGGCTAATCTTCACTTTCCAATCTTGATAAAGTCCAAAAGCGTCTCCGCGTCATTGTCGGCGATGAATTATTTTTCACCCTGCATTCCTTAGTTCCACCAATTCTAACTTTCAGGACTAAGAATAGCTATGTCACGCACATTTTAGCGAACCACTTTCATTCTTTTCCTATTCCATCGGTGAAATGTATGTTCCACTCGAGCAGATTCTTCCTACGAAGCGCTGTTTAGTGGAACCGACTCCCAAGAGGATGCTTCCACGATCACTACAATTTAACCTGTCTATCATTACCCGTTATCTTCCCCAAATATCCTAATAAGTCGTGCCACTTACTTTGTAACCCCCTACACCAAGTGGCTTTTGTGGTTTGTACAGGGTGAACATTATTGTAAAAAACATATTAACAAGGAAAATTCGGGTCGGTCTTATACAAAATTGGGTATAGCAAAGTTGAAATAACTTTGATTTCAACTCAGCAGAAAAAGAAAAAATGATTTTTTTTTAAATAAACGTCAATGCGACAAAGTGAATGTAAAAATTTACTGGAAGATCTGGTGATCAAGAATATCACCGTTCGTTTTTCTGAAGTTAGAAATGGATATCGAAATAGCAATAAAACTCAACACGCTTTCTTGCTTGTTAAATAATGATTGTTTACCGATATTCTTTTTAGGATTTTTATCGTCAGTGTTGTTTTAAACTGTCTGATTTATAACCAATGGAATTCAATTTTCACCTGAGTTAATTGCTGAAAAATTCGGAAATTTCAGTTTCATTCACTTTGCTAATTTTGTTTTTTCGTTCAGTCTTTGCTAATTTTGTTTTTTCGTTCAGTCTTTGCTAATTTTGTTTTTTCGTTCAGTCTTTGAAGTGTTTACATGTAAGGCATAAAGTTAATAGCCGTCTAAAGAATTAGAGAGCTTGTTACGGACCCTTACTCTTCTGATTACTATAAATGTGTTTAAAGGGGATTTCAATTCTAAATGTATTTCCTCCAGTAGCGGTAGTAAAAACAAAATCATTTGGTAACATTGTCCAAGAAACATTTGATCGCTTACTTTTCTAGAGTGAAGATTGACAACATACTCGCTCATCAGCACCTGGCTTCGCATCAAACTGGATACTGGATACTTTTAATTCCAAGAAAAAGACCTTAAGAAACCGTTCCTTCCCTGTACCAAAAGAAACGGGGTCTGAGAAGCTACGAAAATGAAGAAAATGTATTTTTCGAGGAGAAAACAATTTGGTTAAGAAAATACTTTTACTGTTTTGCTTATTCAGAATGCTTATTTAGCATTTAAAGAAGGAAAAAAAAGAAAGGAATTACAATAAGAAAAGAAGTCAAAAAGATTTCTATGGAAACCATGGCAGAGATTATCAGTCCCGATAATGGAAAAGAAGGGAAGTCTGACAACTGATTGCTGGAGAATTTCGATGTTGCGGGAGAATGAGAGAAGAAAAAAACTGAAACAAGTGAGTAACCTTAAACTATAGCTGGATTATAATTTTTGGCCTTTTCTGTAACACTGTTTTGTTCTAACAAATCAACCTGTTCATCCAGCCTGTTGGCGAGGTTGTACCATATACCTCGGTAGATGAAGGGTATTCTGGAGTTCGTGGGTGGTGATAGATTGTTTGACCAAGCACAGGTGTTGCGACTGAATACATAGCTTCAAACGTCGAAATAAAATGGGGTGCGCCGATTGAACGAAGGCAAACTACAGTGCAGTAGTGCGTTACTCATTTCACCACTGTTTCCCTAAAACGGTCAGGATTTTTTCAGGTTTTCTATAACATGAATATAAACTGATAGTTTTATGGTAGTTCGCCACGCAAGTACATCCACATTTACAAAAATTAAAATGAATTTCAATAATTTCACAATGTTTCTTTAGTTTTAATTGAAGGAAAAAAATACAAATTATTGAATAATTGCAAACGTTCCGCCCGATTTTAGTTGTTTTTAATTTTCTATTCGGGCCCAACTTTTGCAATGATTTAATAGCATCGAAAAATAGTAAAGAAAATACTTTGGTATACTTATAGTAAGGTTTGAAATATTGTTTTTGACGTGATTTAAAATTATTTCATTTACGTCACACTGGTGAAAGTCCGCTTAAATTTACGATCTTCTTATGGGACTGTTGAAGTATGAGTGATTAAAAACGCCAAAAACAATATTATCTCTGTGCGTTCAAGCTCTTATGTTAACAAGGGGAGTCAAAGAGGATAATTTTACAATTTCGTAATGCTCTATCGTAATTTTATTTATTTAATTACTCTACGCAATAAAAATAATTCCCATCTTGTATTATAATTTCCGGTTTATTAGATTTTTTAAATTTGAGATTTGTCGAATATTAACAGTTTTATTTAATGTTTCAGAATTATAAGAAAGAAAGAATTTTGAAAAAACACTAAACAAATATTCTTACAAGTATTTATTTTAAGTTCCAGGAAATTTTTTCTAAGCTTTGGGTGAAGTTTTAAATGTAATTTCAATGGTCTTAATATTTCCTTGGACTTATAGAAATTAAAATAATTTCAGTGATTTACTGTAGCTTAGATATGGGACATATAAATTGATTTGTTTTTCTATTTTCAAAATATTAAATAATTAGATTATATAGCAGTGTCCAAAATTAAGGGACAAAAATGAAAACTTCGATATCTCAAAAAATAAAAAGGTCCAATTTTTCTAAAATTTTCACTAACTGTAGACAAATGGCAGTTCACTGTAAGTTATTTGGAATAATACAGAGAGAGAGAGAGAGAGAGAGAGAAAGAGAGAGAGAGAAAGAGAGAGCTATGATTCATTTAATTCTTTATCAAATATCTAGTGTCCAAATTTAAGGAACAAATCGGGAAATATGTGAGAATAACGCACATAAACCGAATTTCTGATAAACTAGCTTAAGATAAAGATTGTTTATCATCACTACGTCATTTTTTTAATATAGTGAACCGATGAAAGCCTCTAAGAGCTGATGTTGTCAAATTGTAAAAGGAAAATCACAGTTGACCAGATTGCTGAACAGGTGAAGCCTTCAAAAAGCGTTGTAGGTGCTCACAGAAGAAGCTGCTCATAAGCAAAAAGAATAAGACAGCAAGACTGGAATTTGCAAACAAGGACGTGTTGTGGTCAAATGAACAGTGATCCAGCGTATGTTTCAGTGTTGAATGTAAATTTATTTGCTTCTGATGGAACCATAGAAGACGAATTGGCGAAAGGTTGAGTTCAAAGTGCACCAAAAAGACAGTCAAGTTTGACGGAGGCAGCATGTGTAACACTATTCGAAGGGCTTTGAATATCAAACAAAAACGAGATATTGATAAATAAACTAGCATGGAAAGGATTAAATGGATATCAAGAACGATAGACTGATAACAATTCGTTCCCAGAGAATCGAAAATTCTAAAACGAACCAAGTGGTCGGCTTAGAACAATACTTAATTTGTACGACAGACGAGGTGTTGACAATTGATAGATAATGCCGCCATGAGTATGTCTGTGGAATCGACATGAGCAGAGCTGGGTAAAATTCTAAATGCCAGTTAGAGGTGAAATGGTTATTTAAGGAATGTTTCTAAAGCTAACCAAAGGATATGAGAACCAGGTGTCCAGTATCTGACTTCGGACGGAGTGGGGGGTGTTTAAGGAAATATAAAACCGACTTGACAAAATCCTTCTGCAGAGATGTCAGGATTGAAGACAATAACTATCTGGCTTATATTTTTTTTTAATAAAAACACACGGCGATTCAGCCGAACGATTGTCACCATAATGTAAGTTGCAAGATTTTCCATGGGAAAGTGTCTCTGGGTCGAGAAGGCCAATTGTTTATTCAACTTTCAGACCAGAAAGAAGACATCAATACTGGTGTCAGTTCACTTATGAGGTGATAGTATTTTGAACAATAATGTTTATTTTTAAATTAGTCTTCGCTGAATGGTGGCGGTGGCAGGCACAAAAAAAGCTATCAAGGAAGGAGGAGGGGATGTCTGCACTCACTGAATTGTAGCAGATACAGACGAGACACCAAGGAGGGTGAAGGAGCTGCCCACGCCCACTGACAAGCATTAGTGAGAGATGCTAAGATGAGGAAGAAGCTGTGAGCAGAATAATGTCTAAAGCCGTTATCCGAGAAAAGAGGGAGACTTCCAAATTGAGAAATAATTAATTACTTAGGACCAAAAAATGAACATGACAGGTGGAGGAAATACCAATTCCCCAACTGCATCACCCCCACCACTGCACCAGTTTTGGGCAGATATCAATAAATACGAATGCGCGAATCGAATTCAGTGAGACAGAAGAGAGATCGCCTGAGACTCCGTCACAGTCGCCGAGCGCGTGACTATCTGCTGACGGGAACCTCCGACATCGGCCTTGAGCCAAACTTACCAAATTAGCTAAACAAACTTCGCTAACTCCGCAAGCCAAACCTTACCAGCTTAACCTAGTGTTGCGTCCGATTTAGGAACGGGTTGGGTCGACAAACACCTATATGCTAACACCTCGACCTTACAACTATTAACAAACCATTGTACGCAGTGCTCGATACAAAAATATTAAATATTTTTTAATATTATTTGAAGTGTTGTATTTCTCCTATTTTACTGTACAACTTCACTCTGCTTGGACCAGACTTATATATTTGAGATATCGATGTTTTAATTTTTGTTCCTTAATTTTGAACGCTACTGTATGTCTTTTTTGTTAACATATTATTTTCTCGTTTGAACTATATTTTGTAAAGTAGTTTTAATTGGATAAAAAAATTGAATTTGCTGATTGGGCTACATGTTGAAAAGTGAAGTCTCGGTTGGCAATTTCGCAGATGGTGAGGTTCTACTATATTTAACAAAGTGATTTGTGTTCTCATACTGACTAGTTGTGACTTTTATTTTATGTGGTGAAAAGGCATGATGTTTTATTAAATTAGTTAAGATTTCTTTGAATCATTTTGTAATTTAGCAATAAAATATGTTTTCATATTCTCACCAATGCAAAATTAACTATAAATAATATCATTTATAGTTTTATATTTTTACAAAATATTTTTAACTGTTTTTTAAAAAAATTATATTTTCTCTTTTTATGATATCCACGAAAGACATCCTCTTCTGCTCAGAGTTTCCTTTGACTTTGACTCTCTTTATATATTTTTGCATTTTTTATTCATTTTCTATCACACCAGATCTGATCATTTCTGAAGTACTCGTTTCACAGTTTGTAATAAGGAATGGTTCGAAATGTAACAAGAACTAGCCAAAAGAAACGATTCGTTTTCTGGTCAATAAAGGAAAACACCACATGGAGTAGAGAAAAATAGGAATCTTCGATGAGATTCATCCTCATATAGAACTGACTAAAAAAGAGAGTAAGTTTTCTTGAGCAACGTCACCTACATTTTCAAATCTGATCTATTCACTAACGACCCAAATGAAATCAACATAAGCTGGCAGTACTATCACAAACCGGCATCGTCAACCTGCGACAAGTACCATGTAAAACAAATCAATACAAATATTTCAAGAATTTACTAACAGGTTGTGACTGCAATTGATGTTTGTATAACCGGGAAAAGAAAAGGGTCCCAAATTGATAAATATTGGTTAAAAAAGTTGTTTCGATCCTTGCTGGTGCTTCTGTACTTGTGATCTGCCGCCAGACTGAGTATAATGAAAAGCATATATGAATAACGAGCCACAGTTGACAGAAATTGATTGCTTATCTCACAGATTATTATAGGTTGACAAAATTCGTACTACAAAGGCTTTCAGTGAGAATCAAATTCACTAAAGTGACAATGGTCGTTAAGAAAACTAAGTTTCTACAATAGGCAACCTTGTACTTTTCTGTATCAACAAAGGCTTCTCAAAAGATTCATGTTATAACAGGTATTGGGGACTACAAAGAAATATGGCGTTTCTTAGAGAGTCTCATTTGTTTGCTATCTCCATTTACATTTATCGTTACAGCCCAGTTGGATGTTGATTCAGCAACGTCCTTATCCGATATGGCGACGGGCAACTATCAGTGGACGCTCGAAAAACGGCTTACTTGCTTATCTACGAACTAGGGGGTGGGTGTTGGATGGGTTGGCGTTTTTGAACTATGTACGTACAGCGAGAAAAAATGAGTGTCAGTTGTATTTAAGAGGGCAAGCAGTGAGTTTCGAAACATGGTTGAGTAATTTGATTTGGTAATTTTTCTAACATATTTTCTAACTCGTTTTCTATTTTGAACTCAATATTCAATTTTAGTAATTTTTTTAGTTTGTTGTTTCTGCTTCTCATTTCAAGTGATAGAGAAAAAAGATAAGAAATATTATTCAAGAATATTGTACATACACACACATACATACATACATACATACATACATACACGCACACATATATATATATAAATAAAACGGAGGTGTTGATAACTTTTTTTCGGTCAGCTCAAGTGGCCCTTCTCAAATAAAAATCTGATGCTTTTAAAACTGATGCTTTTTTCAGGTTTTAGAAAAGGAGTTAGGCTGAGAACTCGGAGGGAGAGACAAATCTCAGCAACACATTCTTTTGATGGTAACCGTGCTAAATATATTTGCCAATTTGCCCCTCTATAGGTATGAGGGGAGTAGAGACACATTCTCAATCCAACCCATTTCCTAAAATTAGATCAAATAACTAAATATCTTTTCTCTTTTTTTTCTTTTTGCTTGGGCCGATAATTTTTCAGCACCAGCTCGTATTTATTAATACAACATATTAAAGAAAATGCTTCATTGTTTATTAAGCTTGAACAAATTTCTTCACTTTCCTACCAAATTCTTTTTTTACATTTGGATGTTTGAATTTCCCCAAACTTATTCTTAAGGAGTATTGTTGTATTTTAATCTTGGAAGGAAGTTGATGTCGGTTTTAATTTGTTTCGTAAGTCGCTGGTTTTTAAATGCCGTCACCAAGAATTAAATGTTTGTCAATTTGAAGGCTCATAAAATATATGAACTTTATATTACAACACCATAATGAACAAAAGTCATTGGCGTCTTAAACAAAGGTCTGATATTACTTGATGCCAATAAGTGAGGAATCCACGTGCTACCATAACAATGTAATATCCCATTAGTAAGTATAAAAAGATCAATGTGCAAATACATTGTTTTTATCTCTTGTTAGCATACACACATTATATATATATATATATATATATATATATATATATATATATATATAGATAGATAGATATGTATCATATATTAATGATTTAATAATTAGAATGATTACTTACATGTAGCAATACAGTTAATTTTGTAAAGATGAAAATCTGAAATCCCTCATGCAGAAGCTACAACCGATACACTTACAAAATTATTTACATATTGGCATCATATTTTGATGGTATCCGTAAAAAATATTTAGAATATACTAATTAACAATAACAACCCGTTTCCTTTTATTTTCTACATATTTCAACTTAACCCTTGATTAGGTTCGGGACTTCTATTAGATTAAAACTGTACTGGCTTCCGAAAAGCAGGAGTTACTCTCAGTAAAGTGAATAGTTTTGTGCGTACACGCGCACACGCACACACATACACACACACACACACACAGATAGCCATCGTAAGAATGAACGTTTTTTTATTACATTTTTTTTTATTCTCTACTGAAAACAACATGATCCGCCTCTGGAGAGTTATGAAAGTTCTATACAATTTCTCTTAAAATAATGTCCACTCTTATTCCTTCTTCTCTGTCTCTACCTTTCCAATTCTGTCTATCTCTTTCCATTCTTTTTAAGAATCTATTCAAGCCACTCGGTA